GTGGTTCGGAGCGCGGTGCGGCCGCTGGAATGCGGACAGCGCTGCCCCCCGCCCCGGGCACCAACCCCGGCGAGGCACCGACGGGGCAGCCAGGGCTGCGGGGCTGTGACGCCGCGCGCGCGGGAGGCCTGTCACCCGCTGCAAGGGGCCGGGGGTGAACAGCCGCCCGAGAAGACACTAAGACAGCGTTAGGCCTTGCCGACTGTTATTGGGCAAGCACTGCCCTGACTCGGAGGAGTGAAGCCCTCTGCATTCGTGACCCTCTTCCAGGCAGTGCTGCTCCCCTAATCCCTCTGCTCCAGTTTTTCCAGTTGTTTCTGGATGTTTCCGGGCAGCTCGGGATTGGTGAAATACTCTGAAATGACGGAAAAGGGTGAGAGAGGATCCCCTTCCGCACCCTGGCACGGAAAGCCCCGGGGGCAGCCGTGGTGCATCCTGGCTGCTCCCCAACACCGTAACTGCCCCCATGGAACCGGGACCCCTGCAGTGAGGGTGTTGGGCAGCCGTGCTCCCCGGCTGTGCGGAGGGACAGCCGTTGCCCACCTGGGTGTTTCATCTAAATAACTCCCCTCTCACCTGCCGCAAACTCCAGCGTGTTGTCAGGTCTCTTCAACATCACCTCTCTGGAAAGAGCAAAAAAAAAAAAAACACCTGGAAAATCGGGACAGAATCGGGGAATTGGCCTTGTGTCCGCGGGACCGGCAACCGCCGTTGAAGCCGGTGTGTGCCAGCGTTCCCTTGGCTCTGCGCTCCGGCGGGGCTGTGCCCGGGGTGGGGAGCAGCGTGGGGGACACGGCACCCTCCGCGTGCCGCCTGCCCCGGCCTACCTGAGGAACCCCCGCAGCAACAGTCGCACGGCGGGCTGTGAGCGCAGGTACCTCTCGCTGGCCAGGCGGCTGTCACACTGGGGGGGAGCAGAGGCAGGGCTGGGTGTCACCGGTGTCACCCAGCGGGTGCCCCCCCACGCCCCCCCGCGAGGGTGCAGGGTGGGCAGCACCCAGCAGGCCCCGCCGGGTGTACCCATGTGTGTGTGTGTG